TGGGCAACGTATACTCATACGGCAAAAAAGTCTCTTAACCTGCAGTTGACTTCTGACTTCAAATTGCTATCACCCCACTGTATGTCATATTCGACTACTTCCACAGTACTCACCTCACCTTTTTCTACCTTTGTGTCTGTCTGTCTCTTTTACGTCTCTGAATCATTATTCTGTTCCCCCTCCCTCTCGACTTTTTGCCACTTTGATGTTCCTCTTCCTTTCTGTGAAGCCCGAAGTCAACTAAATGGCTAATGATACCTATCATAAAGCCTGCCATTTGATATATATTTTTTTATGTGTATTTCTGTTGTTTATTTGGAATATTTTCAGCCCCATCTCCGTTTATTTGTTGCAAGTGAAACACTGACTGTGAACATGCTTAATTCATCTCCCAGTGCGTTTCGAAATTCGTTAACATGTATACTGGGATGATTGAATTCCCCGTGGATATAAGGGGCGGGAAGATGAAGTGGAAGTTCTTTTTGTGCTCTTTCTCTACAGTGTTAATGCAAATGCTTTTTTCGCTTCCGCTTTTCCCTCAAAATAGCTTTGTCAACTAATTTTTTCACCTTTACTATTAACATTTATTTTCAAATCTGACATCTTTAATGTTAACTTGAAGGCGAATAAGTACTTTGACCAGGTGCTTATTCTTTCTTTTTTGACTCTGTCAATTTAAGCATGAAACCCGATGCCATATTTCAGAACTTGATCGAATATGAGAATCATTTTGCATCTACCTATGTCCCGTTTTTAAGTGTAATTTCAACTCTGCTTAAAATATTGTGTGATGTAGTGCTGTTTGGGGAGTATTCTGTTTCAATTTACTCTCAGAGCCTTCAATTTCTCCCAGTTAACAATTTTTTGTTCACTCTTTCTCTCAAAGGTACATACCTCTCAGGATTGCTTTGCGGAATATCATCGTCTTCGTTTCTGCAGCCTCTGTGCCGGTGTTATATCAGCGAATGCTTGTGAATCTTCCTGTGACCGGTTGGCTGAAATCTGCACCCTCCAACAAATTGCCTTGGCTCCGTCGTGGAAACGATTTATCAGTAAGTTTGGCTCCTCTTTTGATATCAAATCTAACGCTCCCTCTTTACGTTTGTAAAAACTTAACTTGTTTTGCGTTTTACCCAGCCAATTTCTTTTCTTTAGTTCTCCAAATCTGTAAACTTTGATTGATTTAATTGTAATAAAATGGTATCTCCAGTAGTAGTATTGAATCTGACTTATTCCTTTGTTCTAGAATTTAAGTAAACGTAAATAAGCGATCTAATTACGATTTAAGTTAACAGAGCATAAGAAGTTAAAAATGGTCCACTTCTTTTGAGCGATTGTAGGCCTCTATATAATAAAACGATAAGGATCCTGGTGATTTTTTTGGAGTTCAAGTTACCGGTCCTCTGCATAAGGAGTTTTATCTGCATCGTCTAGAAAGGTAGCGCGGAACGCGTTGAATATCGGGCTGGATGATCAGTGTCTAGCCACTGTAATAAATCTTCGCTGTTTCCTTTGATACCAGGGTTGTCTGTTCACCCCCCCCCCCCCCCCCCCCACCTTTTTCTTATATCTTACAGTAGGTTACCTGCCTCCCTCCTTTCAACTTCACTTTGAGAACGTTTTTTGTCTCGTCTAGTCGCACCACCATTTACTTTGCATATTTTTGTGAGTGCCCAAATGAGGCAGCACACCGTTATTGAATCAAATGACTCCTGAAGGTATTTAGTTCTCTCAGTGGATTTGAGAAAAATTGAAGAATCAAACTGGACCGAGATAGTATTCTCCCTATTAAGATACAAATGTGTATATCAATCTTGATCAATAAAGCGGTTAATTATCTGTCATTAAAAATATGTTCTAGATAGAAATTTGTAGCTGTCAAAGTGTATAAATTTATGTCTCTGACTTCAGGCATTCATGACTTGGGATATTTGTAGGCAAGTAGAGTGCACTTGACTTGAATTTAATGTTACAGTTGTTTACTTGCACTTAATCAGTTAGTTTTCATGGTATTACAACCTTTATTACTTATAAATCGAATTTAACAATTTATTTTCAGCATTTCCTTTGCCCATCATTCTCACGAACACCAATAGCCCCCCTTTGAGATACAATAATTGCTGCTATGCCAATGATTACACAAGTTGTTGGTAGTAAACTTTGAATACCATGGATATTGTGTCACCCGTTGCACAAGAGTGAAATAATTTCACTTGAACATTAGACCATTACCCCGGATGAGAATAGGAATATCCTAGTGCTCAGACAGATCGAATGAAGAGAGGGATCCCTTAATTCCTGCCTCCCTTAAATGCTTCTTTTTGGCCACTCCTCCCCCGCTCCCCTCCCCTTTACCAGGATGGTTCCTTGCATCCATAGGATTTTTGTGGCTTTCCAATGACTAATGACATTAGTAAAGGCGCTTAATGATCGGATAAAGGGAAGTAATAAACTGTTTAAAATTTTTGTCATTGGACGCTTAGTGTCACAAAAAGATAAGTAGTTATTGAGCCTTGGAGTAAGACGAATTGTTTCATCCTGGTTTCTTCCATTTTCCTATCCTATTGTTCTATTCCGTTTGGTGAGACGTTGGAACGAATCGAAAACTTTAGGTTATTCGAGTTACCCTATTTTTTTGCATAAGGCACAGTTCAATTTGTTTTTTACCCTGACACAAACAAACTCTGCCAACCAATGTGCTCGTGTAAAACTTTCTCTCTCTCTCTCTCTCTCACGTCGATATCACACGCACGGATGCACCACATTATGTAAAATCACCACTTTAGGGGAAAAACAACAACATGGCAAGGTTCGTTGCTCTCCTCGAATTTATTCACATTTTTGACTTCGTTGCCTGGTTGTTGGGGTGTGGCATCGGAGTAGCTGGAATTTGTCCTGTTTGACATCGAATCGCGGGTGATTTTGAAGTGTTTTTGGGATTCAAAAAAAAAAATAAAAATAACTTTTATCTCTTAATCTTTGGGCAATATGATCACATTGACAAAAGTTTAACCTATTGTTAAACTGAGTCTAACCGCGGCATTGTAATAGATCCACAAGAATAAAAGTTAGGCTGTTGAAAATCTTGGCATTTTTTTGAAAATGTTCAATCTATAGTTGAGTCGTTCCCATATTTTCCCCTTATTTGTGTATTACATAGCAATTAATTAATTGGAAATAACTTAAGCTACCTGTATTACTTCCTTCTCTGATCTTTGAAAATCTTATCAAGTTTTAATTAGTCATTTTTCGAAAAATATCAAACTCATAATCACCGTAGAACTCATTTATTAAATCAACTGAACTCAATACCCCTCCTCCTCACACATTTAAATAGCTTGTGGATTTGGGTTTTAAAGGGCTTAGATAGATAAATTAAACAAATTATGACATTTTCTAACGACCTTCTTACATTTAAATGACTGAGTTTAATTGATCCTACAACATGATTTCATTAGGGAATTGATAAAGGAGGTTCCTTGAAACTACCACTGTCTTGAGATACTAATTTTATATGGCAGACTTTATGATAGTCATCATTAACCCTTCGGTTGACTTCGGGCTTCACAGAGAGGAGGAGGAGCATCAAGGTCACAAAATGTCGAGAGGGGAAACAGAAGAGTGCATCTCAGATGTAAAAGAGACAGACAGATACAAAGGCAGAGAAAAGGTGAGGTGAGTACTATGAAAGTAGTCGAATATGACATATAGTGAGGTGATGGTAGTTTGAAGTGAGTATTCAACTGCCGGTTAAGAGACTTTTTTGCCGTATGAGTATACGTTGCCCAGGCTGCACAACGTGGAGGTAAGTCTATCGCACACCCCATCTTGAGATATAATATTTAAAGTATTCAGTGATTATATGACCATTGATAAATACTTAAAATGTCCTGCATAGTTTGGTTAATTTCCCTTTTAGTGACTTTACTTTAAAGAGAATCAGTAATTATTGACTTCGCGTTTCCCCGGTCCACCTTTGATCAAGTGTTCTACTAAGGATCTTCAAAATTTTGGCTGCGTACGAGAGCCTAACTACAGATTGTCGACTGTAATAATGGTGCAGGGTAGACTGGACTACTTTGAAATGTCGCAGATCCAGAATTATTTCTAACATTTAATAAATCACACCATCTTAGGGATAATTTAAAATAATTGAAGGTTTTTAAGTTTACTGATATCCCTCTCAGTCAGTTAGAAATTGAGCCTTATTATACAACGTGCACACACACACACACACACACACACACACACACACACACACACACACACACACACACACAGAGGAATTTTCCAGACCTTTTGGAGCATGGCCAATTTTTTGCGTCTTTTCCAACCAATCTTTTCGACGGCCTTTACATCCTCCATCATAAATAAAGGTATTCACTTTCCTCCTCCGGTTTAGGAATGCGGGTTTTTCCGCAAATGTTACATCATCTATCAGTGTGTGTGTGTGTGCGTGTGCGTATTCGTGAAGCTTTAGATGGCATTTTTTGATCCAGATTTTGGATTAGGCGAAGACGTATTTCTTTCACTTGGAATTGGTTCACTTTTCTGAAATCTTGCCTATTTCAATGATCTTACAGGGTCTTCTATTGCCACTTTTGACTATTTTTCCCCTGTAGGAAGGCAACCGAGATTGAAAAACATTGGATGAACCAATAAGTGCTAAGGTTGACCCGAGTGATTTATATGACTTATATGGTTTGAATAGCAGAGTTCAGTGTATTTTGTATTGATTAGTAATGGTGTATGTTGGAAAATCAGGGAATTTGCGCTTAAATATGTGTTCTAACGCCTAATATTTCATTGGCTTTAGTAACTATCCTATTTGAAACATATTTTCGACTAAATGCACCATGCTTTCAGAATGCCAATCCACTTTTATGCGATCCTCTCCAGATGGGCTTTTAGCATGCTGTTTTTCTTGATTTCGTTGGCTGTCACTTTCGGCCTCAGCTAATTTTTCATTTAGTTAATCCGACCAGTTAGAAAGTGAGTTAGACTGACTATGCAATGAATAGCACATTCGCACCAATACGCGTGGGTGTAAATGTTCGTGGTATTCTTTTTTATTAATTCTTAATAATAGCTAGAGTGGTATACAGAAAGGATGAAAACACGAGTGTACCGTGTTTCATTTGAACATTTGTTGCAAAATCTACTTGTTCCAAAAGCGTCCTTTCTTGCATATCGACGTGAAGATTATATCGTGGTATTTTTTCAGCGACTTTTTATATCTCTTCCTCCGATTCTCTTGTGTATTTCTCCTTTCGCTTATATGGGCCTACCGTAATGCATCGATGAATTGGCATTCTCCTTTCTGCACCGATTTTTGGACTCTATCGCCTGAAATATTGCACTTCAAGACTTCAGCAAGTGACTTTGAAAGCCTCCAGTTAACAATACCAATATCTAAAGATTTATTACCTCCCTATTACAGCCTATTTATATTAATATATATATATATTATTTCTAATTATATTTATTTTATTTTCTTTCCTTCTTCAGACGCTCTGCAAGAGGTTATGGATTTATTAGACAAATTCCCCAAAGTTCACCGGCCACTTCAGATGCACCTCACCGATGCCATTATGAATTTGAAATCCGTCTACACTATGCATGAACAAGAGGTGAACTCTTTGCTTTGCCCAAGTGCAATGTTTTTTCTCTTCTTGAAGTTTCGTTTTTAATTGGATTTTAATAGAATCTTAGTGGGTAGAATAAGGATGTTTTGGTGGCTTTTGCATCTAGATTGTAGATTTTTTACCGAGAGTAGGCCAAGAACTTATGTCGGGTCTCATGTAGATCAGTGATTTCTGCACAATGATCCGCTAAGTTATGACTGTGATGTTATTGAGACCTTTGGTTGTCAGGTCGATTCCTTTTACAGCCGCAGGTGACTAGATAAAACCATAGGTTGTATGAGATATAAGGCTTACTAATGGAGCTTAGTAATTTCAGCGTAAGAAGTGTGCGTATTATGCAAAGCCCCGAGGCTCTTGGAAGTTTTGAAGCCCAAGAGCCTAAGGGTGATTGGATTCAACTGTAAAAACCAACTGCAAGGATTCTATTTTCAAAACAAATTACAATTCGTACATTCTCTTGACCTTTTTCGGTGCGCATTAACTGCTAACATGCTTACAGACTCGTTTCCTCTTAGTTTTTCCTCTCACTATCCCATTCATTGCTCTCTTCAACTTTTCTTTATTTACAAATCCTGATCCAAGTCACTCATGTCCAGTAGTTGGACTTTTACACGTTTGCAATCTCAACCTGATGGACTCATGCTTTGTTTTGAAGTATTTTTTTTGCTTTTCGTTGGATAATGTTTCGATTATCCAAATCTAATTTCATGCTCATTTTTCTCGGATGGCTTTTGAAATTTGACGATTTTTGTGTCAATCTTTTTTCAGCTTGGTGTATGCGGAACCTATACCAAGTTTCGCATTTAATAATTTGTACTTTAAGGTATATTAGACCTTTAACGCCCGAATCATTTTTTTCAAAAATGCACCCGACCCCTCTCACGCATGTCTAACAGCAAATTGATCCCGCCGATGTGATGAGTTTTGGTGGCTCTGGGCGTATAGAACCTGTTTTAAATGGCAATAGCGCCTTCTGCTACGTGTCTATTACCAATGGAACATATTTCGAAAGAGGACCAAGCGGTTCTAAGGGAATAATTTCTGTGTTAGCTTCTAGAAAATGTCATTTTCACAAGACTTACTCTTCTTACGGCCCAGGCATGTCATTCTCTACTTTAGCATTTTGGGCGTTGTCTCAAAACACCTTTTTGGCAAGTTCCAATTGCCGTAATTGTTAATGTGTTTCATTGGCAATGTTTCAGGCTGGTTTAAATTCCCGGCTGTGCAATTTTCCTGAAACTTAATTCAAAGAGGTTCGGAAATGGTCGGTCGCTATTGCAGCTTCAACTAGCATTCCTATTATTTACCATAAACATGAGAAAAGAAAAATGGTTATTCAGTCAAAGTTTGCTTAATCTCATCAACTGTAACCTCCCATTTTCAGCGGCAACATTTGGGTTACTCTTAGTTCCCAAATCTGCTGTTTTCCTTTTTCACTACCTTCATCTCCTCGATATCAATTTCAGGCGTACGACGACAAGTGTTTTACGGTTGGGCGCACAATTGAAACAAGCATTTTCGACGAGATAGAACTGTTTGCCAACGCCATGACAAATGACTTTGATATAATTATGTGGGAATTCCTAACGCACTGAACCGCACTTCGGCGTCTCCCATTTCATTTAATCCCTGTTCCGAAGTGGGTGTGCAACTGTTTGATATAGAGTGAGGGCGAAACGGGGGTCTACAGTACGTCAAGCATCAGGTGTGGCAGCGGTGCCGGTGACAGGAGGCGGATTGAAGACAACAACTGTGTTGCCTTCCTTCCCTCTGCCCACCCTTGGCTTAAATTGTTTATATCTCGCTGCGTTTTGTACTAGATGGGTCAGCGTGACTACTTAGGTAAGGGTGGGTTAGAAGTGAGGGGTAGAAGGGTTGTTGATTGGTCAGTTAGTCAAAAGTCAACCGTTGGCACCATTGGTGGCCAATATCGAATGGAGGACAGGGACAAGAATGAGATTATCTTTAATCTGACTTGAGGCCAAATACTTCCTTTGATTCGTCCGATCATAAAATTTGAATTTGTCATTTTCGCTGAAGGACCTTCGATATTTTCCCTTTATTGAGTTTTCAAAGGATGTGGTTGGCCCTTATCATCTTCCTTCCTATCTATTTGTGGTTGTAAGAAAAGTTGCGGTTTCAATTTTCACCAAACATGATTGTGGCATTTTCCACCTTGACGCCTACCATTTCCTGACGACTCTTACTACTATAATTAACTTTTAATTCACTTAGTGATTGCGTACTAATAGGATTTAATTTCTAGCATTATCACTGAGAAAAAAAGGGAAAAATCGTGGATTTTACTTGATTTTGAAATTATGAATTGTAAAATTTTTGGAGCTATGATCGGTTAAAATGTGTTTTCAGAATACGTGGAACTATCAACATCACGTTTATTGGGGAAAAATTAGAAATATTTCAAGATTGGGTTCTTTAAAGGCTTAGCTTTTCTTTGAATTAAAATTTTATTCTATCTTCTTCAACTCTTACGCCCTTGAACTATATATATGTTTATTTATTTCAAATGGCAGGCATTTTGATAGTTATCATTAGCCCTTTAGTTGACTTCGGGCTTCACAGAAGGGAGGAACATTAAAGTGAGAAGAATTCGACAGGGGAAAAGAAGAGCGATTCACAGGTGTAAAAGACAGACGGACACAAAGGCAGAGAAAAGGCTAGATGAGTACTGTGAAGGGGTAGAATATGACATACAGTGGGGTCATGGTAGTTTGAAGTCAGATGTCAACTGCCAGTTAATAGACTTTTTTGCCGTATGAGTATACCTTGCCCAGTGTGCTCCACGTGGAGATTAGTCTATCGCACACCCAAAGAAATATATATATCAGAACTGTTGTAAGGTCAGTCACATAGAGAATCTATTTTTTTAACTATAGACGACGCAAGTCATTTGATGCTACTTCGACTTCACTCTAGGTGCTAACTTATTATAATTGTGTATCCTCTTATCCAACCCAAGTCTTGTATGTTAACTGCATTTGATTATATTTATATTTTAATGCCGCCAGCTCACCTTATTCACTTGCTTTTCACACGCTACGCGGAGTGAATTTTACCTCCTCTCTTGAGGATATGAAGATTATTTACGTGTTGCAATTGAATCAAATTTTATGCATTGATTTTAGGAAATATTGTAGCAATTATTTTTCAAAGTTTCCGCCTTTGAAATAAATTGATCTTTCCTCTTCTTCATGATTTAGATAATGACCAACTGTTCAACTATTCCGTCTCATAGTGGAGGTATTCCCAACGCAGACCCAATTGTCGGTGGCAACCCTGGGGGTCGATGGCCTTACGGCGGAAATCTTCGACGCTCTCGTCGTCAACTACCACCTCCCTCGTCCTATTACAAACCTCCGCCCATTGTCCTTCAACAACCCTCTCCTCCCACGCTGGGCTCTTCAAGACCACTTGCCTACGAAACCCGACCCCTTCCAGCAGTTTCTCTTACTGAACAGGAGATTGCTATTCTACAGTCATGGGTTAAGGAAACCAAACAACGTGTAAGTTAGCATTCTCTTTTGTCTAAAATGGCTTTTTGAGTTAATTGAATTCCTTTCTCGTTTCCTGAGCTAGGCCTTGGCATTAGCATAATTCATGAGATGTTGGAGCGCATGAGAGCACTGTATTTAAAGTCACTTTAGCGTATCCAACATTTGTAGCCTTGATTTTGTTCTGGTGGCGTTTTTTGAGGGAGATTGAATGGGGTTAGGTTTAAATCAAAAGTCGCTTGGTTAATACGTCCAAGACTGCGTTCTGGGTTTTTTGTGTAATATTGGCTATTAAAAGTTTATTTTGTCTCAGAGCTTTATAAATAGGTAGTTTAGCAATAAATTTAGTCTATATGTCTTTCTAGTTGCTTTTGTTACATTGTTTCCTAAGCGTCAGAGTATCTTTCAGAGACTCCTCCCCCTCCCCTCCCCCTCCCCCCCCCCCCTCCGTGTATGGACTCTCTGTTAGAACTATGATAAACAGGTCCTTCAAATACTCCGCATTTTAAGAACCTGAACTTCCCGTCCGACCACTGTTCGGGGTTCTAAATTTTGCTGGTATTGCTTAAGTGGCTCTCAGAAGATGGTTTAGCTCTTTCATCCTGGCATCCTCCTAGCAGTAAAGATCGCCTATCATTTTTCACGTTATCGATAACATTTACCTTTTAATATCGATGTCCAAAATTTAATAATCTTTTTCTTTTTTATTTATAATTCGCCATTTAATGGTTTGGCAGAAAATTAAATAACCGTCACCTCTAACGCCTTAACTTCCGGCAGTATCTAATATGGATAATTACATTTGGATTCTCAGATAAATTTGAAATATTTCTTTGTTTACAATTTCCTATTTTGCGATTGTAGTAATGAGCATGGCTATTGATTTAATTTTAAATTAAAAGTTCGAATTACAGTTGGTCATATTATTGTTGTTTAACACTTCTCTTTGTCTTGTAGGTACAGCCATTCAGCTTCAAAAAAAGTAATTTCTGTTAACGTGCTCTTAACTAATCATCTGCTTTAACGCCACCAACCAATGGGTGCTCTCCTAATCAGCTAGGTCTATTGGCAAATTGTAAACTTGTGTCATGTTGGTGAATAATCCTCACCCCATCGTTTATTTATTTTACCTTTCCTAACGCGTTTGTCGCTTAGTGTTTGTGAAAGTTAGCTCATCCCCTATGGAGCGTACTATTGTTTCTGAATACTGGAACAAGTGCATGGTGAAGGTGTTGGTGATTAAAATAGCAATTCATTCCCCAACGGGTGTTTTGTTAGGGCAATCAGAAAGCGCTTCGGCTTTTTTCTTTGCACATCTTCATTACCATTTCGGTTTAAATCTATGTTGGTATTTTTCTTACTGGATTGAGTGCCCTTACTCACTTTGATACTATTTCCCCTTGATGTAATCAACATTTTTTGGCTTGTCCACCTGTTCGGCTAGTAATTTGTTGCCAAGGGACTTTTAAATAACCCATATTATAAAAGTGGAAAATGAAAGGCGTAAAGTGGAAATGTTAATTTGTGTTCGTCGACCGCACGTCTCTTAGATTAAGTTAGTATACGCGTTATCAGAGGGGCTCCAAGTTGTAGTCTATTACGTTAGTTTTAGTACTAATCTACTTTTAATGTAAGTTTATGAAGTTTTTTTTCTATGTTATTCTTTGCCAGTTAAGTCCATGTAATTCTTCAATCCAGCGAATTATACCGATGTGATCTAACTCCTCATTGTTCAATCATTCACATAAAAATCCATGGAGTCGAAAAATCTGTTATTGAAAGCCCTCTTTTCAGAACTTCAACATCATTGGCCAATGATTCCACTGATTGTATTTCAAACTCCTTCGTTTTTGTTCTCTGCTGACTATAGCAAAATGCACACAGTTTAACGAATTTCACAAAATATGAATTACGTCCTAAATGTGTCGATCGCTTTATTTTAGCTTGTTACTTAATGAAAGTATGTGCTAATCGATCTATCTTAAAAAAATAATAATTTCTATATAGACGATGTTACTAACTCCATTATGCCAACAGAATAAAAAGAACCCGATGTTATCGCCTTTATTGCTGCCTAAGCTTGTAGTCAAGGCAGGTTAATTTTTTTTCTTGTTCTGCAAAATTAGGTCTGCCCATTACTGTTAGAAAGCAGATTTTGGCTGATCCATAAATCAGACAATTACAGGAGAATCCAGGAGCAATTACTCCTGTGAGGTACATTGGAGATTTAAAATTTTTTATTTACCCACCTCCCCCCTTCCCTCCCTTCGGTGTTTTACAGATTCATGTACTGTAGGGAATGAGTAGAATCTTTCAAAAAAATCAAAATTAGCGAATTCGGTTGGGGAGGAACTGAAATTTAGCAATTTTCTATCACCATCTGATACAAAAAGGTGCGTAGACTCATTTAGATAATTCAGATAAATGTTACTAAAGTATTTTCTGGTCATGGGGCTTGCGTGTTATCGTAAATTCTTGCTAGTAGTAGGAAGAGCCAGTGGCCTTTTTCCTTTCGTAGATTGAGTAGTAATGGTAATCTGTGCACACTTGGGCTCGTAATGTTGTCTAACAACAAATGCTATGGATTTGTCTACCAACTCTCAATACTTTGCCCTCCTTTTGAAGTTATGGTGTGTACGCCCCCCCCCCTCCTTCCCCTCCTTTCCAATCTCTCCTCTTCCCTTCCTCTGTAATTGGCGTCCACTTTCGGGCTACTTCATTTCTGGCTAATAAGATGGCCTGTGCTTTGTGGATGTTCCTTTAATCATTTACTGTCTCAGCCGTAAACCGACTCCACTTACGCCGGGGGCATTCGATTCTGCTTTTTTTATTTTGTGGGGCTTTTATGGTGGCTATCTGAATTGTCTGCGTATGGGAGAGATTTTCAAGTATGGTATATGGATAAGAAAAATTAATAGAGGCGATAGTTTGGTAGTTTCAATTTGCAAATAATTCTGGCCGTATATTTTGCTATTCGTGGTTTCCATAATGGTTTAAAATGGCCTAAACATGAACTTGAGTTAGGGGAATTTCCATATACACTTCTCCACTCCCAACAGAGCTGTTCTCACCTGATAGCATCTTCAGCATTCGATGGAATTCCCATCGCAATATTACTGACATGCTAATTTCGTGTTCGTTTCTGAAAATTTTCTTGAATTTTCCTTTTTTTCGGCCACACTAGCTTTTGTTTGGTGGTCATCTTTTTTTCAATTTGAATTTGGCAACTAACAATGCTAATTTTCCACTAATGCATTAGTCAACAAATGAGCACACATTCAAGTATCGCATTCAGTAAATTGGATTAAAATGATTCTTTCAAATTCACCACAAAAGTGATTCCTCAATCAGAACAAAAAGATGTCCCCTCCATGAAAATGTCCGACAAAATATTTTTTCTAAAATCAAGTGTTTCATTCAAATCCGCAAATGCAATTTTTTCTCACTCACACTGTTTGATCCTTGCATGTCTTCAGCTATTTCATGATTCAGGTTTAAAAGTTTGTGATGAAACGCGGTGCCGAGCGTTGACACTTTTACGGTTTTCGACTTCTCCCTCCCCNNTCCCCCCCCCCCCCCCCCCCCCCCCCCCCCCGCCTCCTCCTCCTCCTCTCTCGCATATTTATATTGTCTACTTCAAATGTCTCGGCCAAGTTGCCTTTCTTTTTTCGTTTATAGTTATTTCAGCTTCAACTTTTACGTATTTGTTTGCCCCCATCTATATCCCCTCCCCGCCAATTCGTTCACTCTCTTTTCCCCCCGAATAATAAATCTCTCTTTCCCATGTTGAAAATTTCTCAATCAAGACTGCTTTTCTTCCGATTGTCAATGTTGAGATGGTTATCAGTGACAATTTCTATTTCGAGTTTGAAAGCTAAATTCAATGAAAGAAACAAAATTTTCATTCAATCGGTTACAATTTATTAAGCTACTCTAGTCTCATGAGGATTAAGCGATCAAATTTTTACTTCCAACGATCAATTCATTGTGTTGTGTTTGGATATGTGAAAAAAGGATTGGCTAACCGATTAGCCAATAATCACAGTTGGCCTATTTATTCAGGTTTGAGTGCGAGAATTACACAATTGGTAAAACAGTGCTTGGTGGACTAAAATTTTCCCGTGTATTTTGAGCTGAAAAGAATCTCTAGATAGGACTATGCTTAGTAGAACCTCTTTTTGATAGGTTTTGAATCGCGTTCTTTGCATCCTTTATCATCTTAAAAGGATGGATCTGAGATATGAAAGTGAGAATTTTGCTTGTTTTCTTCATTTGCTTACATATTTCGAGCCAATTGACAGCTAAGCGGAAAGTCACCAGGTAGATGTAAGCTCAATGCCACTCATGGCAAGTTGTATTAATATTTTCTAACTTCAGTGTTGGGCTTCTGTAGCCCACATCTCTCCTCCTCCTCTCGCCCATTGTCAACACAATTGTCCGTAAATTGGGTCTGTGGGATGGATAGTTAAGGTTAGGAGAAGTTGCGGGTCGTTTGGCTTCGAGTATTTGATAGGTTAAATTTGAAGTTGCGAGTATTGAAGTCCACATGTGTCTGCGTATTTGGGCTATTTATAGACTATTTGCTCTTTTTGCGTTTTACAAAGGAACACCAGTATTGATTTATCGGGGGTAATTACTTTGAATAATTACTTTTCCATGTGCCTTTCGGGTAGTACGACAGCTGGAAGGACTAAAATGAATGCGAATAAACTCACCCCCCAATCCATGGCTGAATGAAAGCCTGCTTTAACTTCAAAATACATATTTCGTTGCGAGTAATTTGATTTCCTCCAGCTAAATGGGTTTAAATTCACTATTGTCTAACCATCTATTCGTATTCTCTATTGAATTGGTCTCGATTCCTTCTTTTTTTGATTGAGATTTCTCTCACACTAGTCAAATGGAAAATTTCCTGCTGTTCAGCTCTAGGAAAATCTTTTGCAAATAAGTTATTTTCAGTTTGCTCCATTGCCGCCTGGTGGAGTAGTGCCATACATTCTATTTCTTTAGCCATTTCAAATATAAAATTTTAAACGCACTTGCCATTTGAAAGTCTCTAAATTGTCGGAAATTGTGCCAATTATCTAGTTTCTCATACGTATA